AGTGCATTCTGGGAAAGATTCCAGCAACCCCTGAGAAGAATGATGTGGGTGAATGTATGATCAGTTATTGGATGTTTGCGTGTTGTCGTTACATAAATTATTAAATTATCTACATAAAGGGCAAATAGAAAAAAAACTTCCGTCAACAGTCATTAAATATTTGTTGGGTCAGAGATGAAGATCCTGAAATGTTTCCTTTCAATGTCCATGAAATTCAACAAGGTAACACCGTATTACAAGTGATTTTAGAGACAGTGGTAAACACATAAAATAAGCCCAATTAGTCTACCATCGTTTAGAGAGCGAGGACATGGAATGAGTGTGAATGGGTTTGGTTCGTTAAATGCAATTAATTTTACACAGTGCCTGAATTGGACCAAAAAAGCTGCTAGTACACTACTTAAGCACAACTCTACCCCTAAACACAACATAACCCTAAATCTTTCACCAGGTACTGTTGAGCTGAGCCGTATCGTCCACATTTCTCAGAAATGAAATGAGAAAAGCTAAATCAGGAAACAAGTCATTTTTTTGCTTTGAAAATGAAACAGACAATGGAAAAACTATTTCCTAATATTTATAAATGGTTGTCTCATTTCAAAGCAAAAATTAATTTGCTGCCAAGTCCACTGACCCTTGTTCAGATTTATTTTTCTTTCTGTTTTCTGTTCAAACATGAATTCCTCACAGTAATGCTGTCTTTTTCTGTTTTTGTCAACATTTTTGAGGCTGTTTCCATCTTGTTTAAATGAATGTTTACTGGAACTGTCAATACACTCGATAAGGGGTTCTGTGTTTACACTCCAGTCGTTTGGTCTTTATAATTTAACCATAGAGGTCATATGTTTTGGCCATGACGAAAGGGCGGTGTAAGTTAACACAACGTACAAGATTCTTAAAATGAAACTGAGCTGAAGACAGAGCGAGTAGAAGTAAAGTTGAGATCTATGAATAGCACTTGAATGCATTTTTGCTGTAGGACATTGAATTATTTTGCATTTTTTTGCCTTTGGGTTGCCGTGTTATAATATGATAAGCTACTAAATACCTCCCTAATGGTGCATAGTGTGTAAATCTGCCAGTGTGTCTTATGGTGAGGCTTCAAGACTCAGAGACGGTGTTGATTTAAGTTTTCTGTGCTAATAAAACAGTGACTGTGTTGACTTAGAGGGGTTCAGTCTGCAGCTCACAAGCACCAAACGTCAATCAATTAGGCACACAAAGTGTTTTTTCTCCTTTGGGCTCTGCTGTAGAAATACCTTCGCCCTATGGATCTGTGTGCAGAGGTACCAGGTCAATAGCTTGCAGTTGAGGCGAGACTTGTGATTGATCCAGATCTCAATAGCTCAGTCTAAACTTCAGCTTGATTATAAATGCATTTGTTTCTTGGTGCAAATCAGAGCTCCGCCCCTCCGCTCTTTAATTGTGTATGAGTTGTTTTTCATTGTCAGGTCTGTGTGCTGTCAGGTGTTTGTCCTCCGATTGCTCTGAACGCGCCGATGCCATTTTCTTTCTCTTAACTCTTTCTTTTCTTTCAGGCAGCTCACATCCCCCCATTTCTTCACACACATCCTCTCCCGCCAACCCACCCCCACCCCTCCATTCCCACCCCCAACATCCCCAATTACCCCCCAGCTTCCAGCAGCACTACACATCCCCCTTGCATTGAAACGGACCAGTTGCCATGGCAACCCCATACAGCAGCATATTATTCCCCTGTCAGAATTCAAAAGGGGATCAATTAGTGATGATGTCACTGCGTCAAGAGAACCACTCAAATCCTGATCACGATTCCTTCAGAGCGGCCAGCCGGGGCCTGCGTGTGCGTGTCAGTGTGTGTGTATGTGTGTGTGTGTGTGTGTGTGCGTGTGCGTGTGCGTGTGCGTGTGCATGCTATATCTGAGACATATTGTGATTTGAGAATGAAGGAAAGTTGAAAAGTGAGGATTCGTTCTCCTCTCTGCAGCTCGGGGTGGGAGATGAAGGCAGACTCGAGGTGCCTGAGTCACCACTACATACTGTGTGGGAGGGCTGGATGATAGCAGGACGGGGGAATACAAGTAGAATGAAATACACAATGAGGGTTAGACGGAGAACAGAAATCAGATAGATTCTTAGCGCTGGAGAGACTCTTCGTAAGTGGAAGTGGACAAAACAAATTAAATACGGTGCACTTTGTAGCATTTCTCCAAAAAGCCAAGGTAGCAGAAAAATGTGCTGCACATCAAATACAGACCTCACTTTAACATTTCTCTGACAGTGCAAATTGATATAATAACACACCTGCTACTTCTTTAACCTTGCTTCAACTCTCTTTTCCTTCCTCTAGCAGGAGAACGTGCAGGTCTGAGAATACGCAGGTTTACAAAGAGCCAGAGAGAAGCGACCTGTAAACTGTACCAGTCGCTGACCAGTGCTTTTCCTTGCTTTGAGCTCATTAATTGTATTTTTCATTTCTGGTGGGATCTGCTAGATGTGTGTTTAGCCTCTCTTCCCAAAAGGATTGAAATATTTCTGCTCATTTTTCATTCTACTGCAGATAAGCAGAGTTTTACATCAATCACAGAGGGTAAGATAGAGAGAATATATTTTTAGATCCACTCTTCTTTCTCCTCCTCCTCCTCCTCTGTTCATGCACCATCACAACTGTTAGAGATTTAGATTCCCAAAAGCATACACATATACCGAATCCTGAAGACTGGATTGTGATGTACTAATGTGTGATAAATTAAAGTGAGATCAGCCTGAAGTGTTGTAGTAAGATATTCTGAATATTCTTCCAGTATCCATCATTTGGTGTTTTGATGATGGCGGTGGAGAGCGCTGTCTAACGGGTGCAGTAAGCTTCAAATTAACTAGGTTGCAAAATGTGTTCGTTTGAGGCGAAATTATTTTTGGCTTGAAGATGAGGTGAAAATCTTCCTCCTGGCTGCATTCCTGATCCCTCTGCAAGAACATTGCGTCTTTTGCAGTGTTTATTGTTGCAACACGATGAATAATACGTGAATACAATACGTTTGGACATTCATGTTGCCTTCATGTGTGATCGAACTCAGCCCACTTTCACACCGCCTCCACCTGTCAGACGATTCCACAAGCACTTTGTTTTAATATCCAGATGAAATGAAAAATGCCTTTTTAACCCTTTAAGATTACTGTCATATTGTACAGCTATTTAACAACTCATGTTACACAACAGACGTGTGCTTATGTACGCGTGAACCAACCAGTTTAAACCAATAATATGACATCTACCCATCAATCAATCTTCAATGTATTAGTTTGCTAGATAGCAACTGTATGGCTTTCTGCCTCACTGATTACTGTTCAAAAACACAACTTTATATATATATATTATATCCTCAGATTTTCCCTCTGACGTCCTCTAGCTGCTTTGCCTCAACTCTGCTAACTGCTAATCTAGCTGCTGTTAGCATACAACGAAACGGGGCTCAGCAGCCTCCTGACTGCTGACACAGAGGTGATTTATGGAGTCGCTGCTAAAGGGAACTAACTTCTAGTTAACGCTGATGTTAGCTGCCGTTAGCTGACTCAGCCCTCGGTGCCAGGAGCCAAACCCGCAAAAGAACACCCACCTCAGGTCTGTCGTCAAACTGGCCTCCAATGCAGTGCTGTAGTACTCAACTGACTTTGTCTCACTCATTTAGACTTGGACTCGGACTTTTGGACTGGGTCTCGACTTGTCTTGGCACTGGATGCTGCATTGGGACTCGATCTGGCCGTGCTTTTAGAGCCGCTATAGCTGCATGGCGGTGGGACGTAGCCCACATTCAGAGCTATCGACTACTGCGACAAGTCCCTCCCTAGCTGATCTTGTAGGTTCCTTTTCATGTCACACTGTGCGAGAGGGGTCAGATAAATAGTTTGTGTCAGATAGTACATAATTATTACAGCGCTGTGATTTACCAGAGCCAACACGTGTCGTCCAGCTGCGCCGCTCTGTGTTGAAATGCAGGAAAACGGTAACAAGCTTTGACCACGGTGCTGGCGGTTTTTAGTTGATGCAGATATGTGGTGTCACAGCAGCAGTCACATTGTGAAAATTAGGTCTGATATTTCTGACACATTGTTTGGAACCGCTATGTCACTTAGTTAGTCGCCTACAAATAATCGGTTGGAAGCATGAGACCTTTAGGGGATAGCGCTTCACATCATTTTCACACCCATCACTCCAATGAGGCATTCTCGTCTTGAGACCGCATTAAGTTCTCACTGTAATCAGAAGTTATTTTAACTAAAAAAAGTTGTTGAAACAGATTACAACGAACATTTTAAGTAACATAAACTCAGTTTTTTAACTTTTACTTTTAATTTTATGTGACACCTACTTAAGTTTATTAGTTACAGAAACATTTTGTTTTCACTGTACAAATAAAAATGACATAATTAGGTCAGTGTCACTTAAAGTTACTAAAGCTACTAAACAATGTTTTTTAAACTTACAAAATTTAGTTAGTTTTATTGAAATCATTGACTTAATCAGTTTCATTTTTATTATGTATTTTATGTGATTCCTTTGTGTAAAACGTAATAATGGTGAAGCTGAATTTCCCCTGTAATTTTAAGACTCTCCTCCTGACAGGATACATTGATTTTAGATGATATTCATGAGAACAGGAGATCATCACACTTTCATATTTTCTATCAGGGAGAATAAAATGATGATGGTCGCTGTCCGTGGTCCTGATCTCTGTTTGGATCAGTGACCTCGGGACCACACACACACACACACACACACACACACACACACACACACACACACGTTCCCTGCATGTTCCACCACATCTCATCCATATATCAGTTTTCTGTGTTGAATCTGTTGTGACTGGATTATTTATTCAACGTAACGCGTTCATGTCTCACATCTATCATGCGAAATTGGATTTGCGCTTCCTCGCGCGCATGTGTGTGTGAGTGTTTGTGTGTGTAAGAGAGAGGGAGGGGGAGAGAGAGGGAGAGAGAGAGGGGGTTAGTTGAAATGCGCGGTGCATTCTTCTGTGGAGGGCGAAGGGAGCAGCCATCCGCAGGCGGCACAATTGCTCGAAATCTCCTCAGTGATAACTCAGCCCTTATCGCGCGCTGGGAGGAAATCTGAATTAATTTCCCCCCCAAAAAAACGATCTTGTCGCATTTTTCTTCCGGTTTCAGGACAAAAAGCCCCCGCAACATTTTGTCCGAACTGGAAGTTGTGTTTGCTGGAGCCACCGGGGAGCCTTGTACCTCCACAGTCCCGGGAGGGTTGATTCGTCCCCCTGCGGAGCGCGCAGCCTTTCATCCGCCCGGAGGATCCACCGGAGGATCCACAGCGCAGGGGTTGCATTTGGAGAAAATATCGATGCAATGGTAAGATTTGGCAGAAACGGATGAATTAGAATTGTACTGTCTCGCATTAAACATCACGTTTTGTTGCACGAACGTTGACGTGCTGAAGGATGTTTGGGAGGAGAACAAGCATGCCGGGATCTTGCGGCATGTGTCGGCTGGCTGCTCAGTGAGGAGGTTCCTTCCAATCTGCGCGCAGTTTGCACAATTACTGCACAAACGGACAGTTTTAAGCATTGAGGAGATTGCACACATGGGATTATTAGAGGAAAAATCTCAGTGATACACACAACATGCTCTCTGGTCATAGAGGACGCCTGTATTGTTTATATGCATGAGGAGGAGCAACCTTTTTTTAAGTCTGTTTAGGCGGTTACTGAATAATAAGTGTGCACTCGCTTGAAAATGATATGCTTTGTGCTTTTATGGAGATACCAGTTTCATTCTGTGTCTATATGTCATCCATACAGTCATGCATGCAGTGGATCCACATGCAGCAGGCCTGTCACATATTTGCTCTTGCAGGATTTCAATTACCCAACAATATTACGTTTTGTTATAAGCATGTTTAAGGATGTGTGCTCTTGTATTGCTGAAGATATGAAATCCAGGCCTTGGGTATAAAAGCTGTGAGTGACCTTGTAATGAATCACTGAATCACAATTGCTGCTTTTTCCTCTGCTGCTGGTGTTCGGGGGGGTTAAATCGACAGTAAAAAGCCGTCCTTATTCACTAATCTGCTCTGGGTGTCTGACAGACGTGGGCTTCCTCTTAAAACCACTCACTGATGTTTATGACTGTTCATGTCTGGCCCCAGAAAAGGTGTGTAAAGGTGTTTGTGTGTCTACCTATACCTGCATGTTTGTGCTAACCCATATCTGTCTGTTGATCGCTGCAGATTGATTGATAAAAGGCCCATGCTGAGCTATTTGTTTACCTTTCTGAATGCTCAGCTGCTGCCTCATTCATAAAGAGTGATGAATGAGTGGCACATCCGCCCTGAATCCTAATTCGAGGTAAAACAGCTGCTAGAAGTCTGGTTTTGCAAAAAAAAAAAGACCCTTTGTGGGAGGTTTTTAAATCAACATCATCACATCTGTGACAGCGGTTTACACAAAAGGACAACACTGCGTTTGCAGTCAAACAGTTTTTGTTTAAAAGTTCACGTTGTGCACAATCAGGCAAGAATCCTGTTTGGATTTGCTTCCCTTATTGGAGACTAACACAACACGTCATGAAGATGCCGGCGCGGCTGAAACATTCGCAGCATAAGTGCACAAGTATCAGGGAAGAGCCTTTCTGTCTCTCAGATCTCTGTGATGCTGACATTTAAATGGCCCCATTAGCCTTGTTGTGTTGGCTGGCCTGAGCGGCAGAGGAGGGAGAAAGTGAGGGAGGAGAGGACATTAGGCGTTGGGCCCAGTCTCAGCACGGCGACCTTGTAACACACCCAGTATCACGCATGAGCCGAATGTCATTTAATCACATCGAGGAGTGGACCGGCTGTGGTTGCTGATGCAAAAGGCTGCACATTATGAGGAGGAATACTTTATTTCATCCTTTATGCTTCTGTCATGGGTCTTTTTTAAATGTCAGTGAAATCAGTGACTGCATATTCTGTAACTGGAGTTTGTTACTGCGTTGATGGTTAATGATGCTTATACTCATCAATCAAATGGACATTTTAAACACATTTATACCACATTCAGTCTCATAGTTAGTATTTTTTTTAGAAAATTCGCTAGAATTTAAAATTTAAGTATGTTTAAAAAATGTTTGTAAAGATGGACCCAGCAGCAGAGTTTAAGAGGTTGATTCACCTGTGTTGTTTCTTCAAATTGTCAGAGTTAATAAAAAAACACCTTATTTGATTTCATACATTTGTATTTGTATTCAGACTCACAAAGTTAATTACAAAGAGGTCAAGCATGGCAAGAGAAATGTGCAGCCAGACCAAACCCAAAAGTGGTCCAAACTATTTATGTTTGAGAAGTAAAACACTGTTTTCTTGCAGTAGTGACATAATTGTGTGCATGGAACCACATTGATATACTGAGCACAGCCTCATTTATTGCCTAATGGTATAGTGTCTAACATTTAGAAGGATCTATTGGATATGGAATATAATATTCATAAGTATGTTTTAATGTATAATCACCTGGATATAGGAACTTTGGGTTTTTTTCCTTAGAATGAGACGTTTTTTATCTAGAGAAGGGCGGGTCTGCTATGTTTCTACGGTGCCTAGAATGGACAAACGGGCTCTAGAAAGGGTTTTTATCACAAGTTAGTTTCTCCTACATGCTTGGAAGGGGAAGGTGAGGCATTGCAATCTGCAACCTTTAAAGATAATATTTGGTTTCATACAACTTTGTCAGAATTCAGAGAGTTAATTGCTGAGCTCTATGAATGTGCATCACTACAAAGAAGTTGAAGAGGAAGAAACATGAGTGATCTAAGAATCCAAATCTGGTCCAAACTGTTAAAAATAAATAAATAAAATAATCTTTTCTTGCAGTAGTGATATTATTATGTGCCTGGAAACATGAATATAATGAGCACAACCTCCTCTGTTGTTTAAGTTAACAACAACATCATCATTGCTCAGATAGGCCCAACATTTTGCTTGGGATTTCAGCGCTTCCTGAAAAATCAATTTAGGTTACAAAGGGAAACGCTGGATAGGATTCAGCCACTGACGGGCATGTGTAGCGGGATGTATATTAATGTTTGGGGTGGTGTATTATTTTCTTGTAGGAGATCAAAGTTCTCCATGGAGGCAAAATTTCTGGGTCCATTTAATCTCTATGCTCGTTTAAAATTGTAATTCTTACATTAATAATGGCTGCATTCCATTTAGGTTTACCAGTGCCAGTGGGCTTGTATTATGTATCCTGGCATGGACATGTACGTGGAACTGAGCCATCCTTAGTGTTAACAATTACACCTTTGTGTAAATGTGTATATGCAGTGAAGAAGGGCATTATTAAAGCTCACAGACTAATAATGCATTCATCTTCTCTTTCACTTTGCTGTGCCAGGATTGCACCAGTGCCAACAATCACCTGTGCATTTGCTCTGGGAGTTGTGTTTGAATCAGCTGAACCTACATCTTTAGCTTGAAACTCCACTGTTGGTAGGAGAACCTGCGTACAATGCTTCAAAGCAGGTTTGCAGCGATGTTTTCGCCATCAAGTCTACTTCTTCTTTTGATTGGCTGTTAGGTGAGAAGATGGATTTTATGTAAAATAAATTCATCTCAATTTGAACTGTTACTTATGTCATGTTACAGTAAGCAGCAAAAAAGTCGACGAATTAACGCGGAGCATTTCATAAACACTGACCACATATACCTGTAATGAACCTGAGACGCTCCATCATGAACCTGTATCATTAAAGGAGGGAAAAAAATGTGGTTCAATGTAAATACTAGACCTAGAATGGTAAATTATATAACTGTTTGAGGGTAAGTGTTATCCTGTATTGTCAAGAAAGGTTCTGGAAAATTATTTCTTAAAAAGAGTGTGAACATTTGTTACTCAGGAGCTTCATGCACCATTAAAGACAAAGCTAACCTTTTAAAAATGGAGCTTTCTTGCCTGCTTGACCAGACATATCACAGTTTTACCCACATTCAGAACAAGAATATTGCTGGTCAGTGCGGTTGCAAAGAGGAAATGGACAGGATCATAGCCTGGTATAGCAGAACTGTTAAAGGGCACACATTTTATAAATAATAAAATCAAACTAAATGGCGTGTTTTTGCATTTACATTCCTGATTATTGCATCGCAAACCTGTTTCCTCTAGAGGGTGATTAAAAAATAAACCGGTTATGTTTGATCATTGACTCGTAGGCTACAGCAGTCAGCTCTAAAGAGCTCCTTCGGCCGGTTGGTGCTGGTGTTTAGCATCGTGGTGCAGCCATGCAGGAGACGACGCTGTCTCACTGCACACTGGGTTGCGTTGGGAACCAGAGCATTCACAGAGCATTCACAGAGCATTCACAGAGCATTCACAGAGCATTCACAGGACTGAAGCATCTTCAGCTGCACAGCTCCGTCACCATGCCCTGCCTCTGCTCCCTTTCTGTGTCACCTGCTCTGTATATAAGACCCTCTGTCCTCTAGTCCCTGCTTGCACTTGTTTTTCTTCCCATGCAAAAATAATTGGCAGCACGGTGGTGCAGTGGTTTGCACTGTCACCTCACAGCAAGAAGGTTCCAGGTTTGACTTCCTCCCACAATTCAAGGATATGCCGGTTAATTGGTGACTCTTAAATTGCCCCGTAGGTGTGAATGTGAGCGTGAATGGTTGTTTGTCTCTATGTGTCAGCCCTGCGATGAACTGGTGACCTGTCCAGTGTGCACCTCGTCTATTGTCTAATGTCAGCTGGAATTGGCTGGTTATAGATGATGGATAATAATTTAATGAACTTACATTGATTAACTTAATTCATTTCAATCTGCATTAGTCAATATTTGGCCACTATGAGCAGGAAAACCTCACAGAAAAAGATACACACCGACCACATACCTGCTTATGTTGTGTTATATTACGTGAGGTGACGTAGAGGCCTTTTGTCAGAGAATAGCTGTTGGAAATGGCCGGCAAAGGGGGAGGATGAGAGTGGCTCAAACTCAAGCATGCACCAAGTAGTGAAATAAATGATTGAGTGGTCCACAGAATGATCTTGAATGTTACTTGTAATCCGTTATTACTATAGACCAGGGTTGGGAAGGTTACTTCAAAACTGGAATCGAATACAGTTCCTAATTACCTGTTAAAATGTAGTCAGTAATCCAAGCATCACAGTATTAAAGTAACATACCTTGATTACTTTCTGTTAGTAACATCATGCTTTGTACCAGGCTGTAAACATGATTATTTCTGCTGTAAAGTTTGTCATTTTAATATGGGGCCTTATGAAGACTGACTCACTGTTGGAGCCAGCCTCTAGTGGCCGTTAGAGGAACTGCAGTTTTTGTTACTTATGAGTAAACGTACTCGGTTATTGAATTCC